TTTTTTTTTAATAGAACACCCTGTATATTTATCGTTTTTTAAATGCCTCTACTTTTTCTGATTACAGCAAAATACCGGATATAAAACACAAATAATTAAAATTAAAATAGATAAAAAAAATAAAAATAAATCTAATAATATCAAGTGCTATCTAGGTATAATTGAAACTAACACAACGATGGTATAACCCCTTTTTCTTTTTAGTTTTGAAGATAAATTATTGCAATTTGGGACATCGTATTAAACTTCACTTTTTGACATTTTAACGATTTTTCAGTCACTTCCGGTTTCGGCGGAAATGACAGTAACTTACAAAATTCTTCATAATTTTCTGAATCCAATGATCTGAATAAGTGAAATTTGAGACATATTTTTTTTTTATTTTAATTTTTTGTTTTCCATTTAGGTTTAGGTGTGTGTTTCAGTTTACTCTAATCGACCCATACAATGCTACAAAAATCAAAAACCCGTTAAAAATACTAAACGATGTAATTTATTAGCAAATAAAGTTCATCGAAGAGTTTTTTGGGACGTACATATATTTTTCAAAAGAAAATATCTTTTGGTGGCACACCCTACCTAAAAATTATAGTAGTAAATTAACGCACGTTAAAGTTCGTCCTTTATAAATAATCGTGATTATCTCCAAAACAGTTGAAGATAAGTATAGGAAACCTCTATATCAGTCGACGCAGAATTTAATTCTACATGTTCCTGACTGATAAAATTGTTACTGTTTCATTTGAATAAAATTAGTTTTCAATCTTTGAAAATTACCGTGTTGGCCGCAAAATTTTGAGGACCTTGTGCATAGCTAGGTCAAATGTGACACATTTTCGGTGAATACATAATAAATACTACTAATAATGGAAGTATGTCCAATTATACAAATGGTAGAGATATTTAATATTATTCGCGACGTTTCATCTAGCATTTTTTTTTAAATCTAAATATCTCGAAAACGAAAACCATAAATTTTCAAGGCATGGACGTGGTGACAAAAATTACTCAAAATAACTCATAGAATCGACGAATAATATAAAAAAATGGGGTATTCCATTTAAAACAATGGAGATGACGTCACTTCCGGTGAAACCGGAAGTATCCCACTCTTGAAAGTATTTCAAGACTAAATTGAACACATATAGCTGTCAAAATTTAATGAACGGGTTACATGAAAAACCCTAAAAATTAAAATTAAAATTTTAAAAAATTTTTCTTACTTTTCAATAACAAAATATTATGCAATGTGTCTAAGCAAACATATGACATATTCTTATGTATATATTTCTGTAACCAGAAAAAGTAGAGGAATTTAATTTTGTTTATATCTTTAACACGCAACATTCAATTGTTTTTTTATATAACTCCATGATATCATATGCGTTCATAATTGTTTTTTATGTATTTATGAAGCGGCTGCCCAATTTATTTTGCACCCGGCCCTGTTATTGCTATACTGAAATTAATGAATTTAAAATAAATATCTTGCTTAAATTACACACATATTGATGTAACTAATATTATCTTATTTAAATAATTTCTCAAACCCTAGATAAAAACTCAAACCTCAAACCGCATTAACTGAAGCTTTTTTGTCGTATCTGCCTGTCGTAGCTGGTATTTTACTAATTTCCATGTCACGTGATATGAATTTATTCCGTTACCCCGTCATTTTATCTCAAGAAAACTGTATTTCCAAATATCTATTTAATGGATCATTTAACTATTGAACATAAGATGGCGCAGTATCGAAAGTGTAAAATTGACCGTGAACGATTAAATATCAAGTTTACATACATATGGCTCCTCCTTGTAACGAATTCGAGAACTAAAATTTGATCAACTATTCAGCCATAACAAATATGTATAATACTATATTTACTTATACAATGGTATTACCTATTCTAATTTACTTACAAAATTAAGTCAACATCTTGATCCAGTAGGAGTAAAATTTATTGAGTCACAAATTAAAAATTGCGAAAAGAAATGACCTATCTATAATTTAGAAAATAAAGCACTTGCTTTAGCGATTTGCAAACGTGGGCCAAGGTGCTACAGGTTTTTACAGAAATTTTTTGTTCTGTCCTCTAAATCTTCCATAAGGAAATATTTAGGCCGAATACCTTTAGATGTTGGAATAATAAAATGAAAAGTTGTTACGTAAATTATCAGAACGTGTTAGTAAAATGATTACAAGAAATAAAGTTTGTTGTTTAGTATTCGATGAAATAGCTCTGTCGGTCTAAATTATGACACTTCTAAAGATCAAGTAACGGGATACGTCGATCTTGGGTCCCTGGGCAGACAAAATGAGGTAGCAAATCACGCTCTAGTGTTTTTGGTGTAAGGTATTAGTAAACATTGGAAGCAGCCTATCGCGTATTATTCCACAAAAGACCTTATAAAAACAATTTCTGCGTCACTCGTTCCCCCACGTCGTAGTTTAATCACGTATTGGCCGCCTTGTTGCCATGACAACCGCCTTGTTGGCATGACAATCGCCGTAAACAACGCTACGAAGAGAAGCAGAATCACATTATAGGCTGTTGACTATGTCAAAATAAAGAGGGTACAAGGGAACTACAACGTAACAGAAATTTTATTGTTTGTTATGTTCAATTGACCCTAAAAAATGATAAAACCGCGGAGTGCTACCTTTTAAAGGGGTGTGTTTTTTTAAAAAATGTGGTATTTTCAGTTTTTTGAGTTTTACTCGAAAACTATGCATTTGTTCACTATAGTTGTCATCAGAAAAGTTGTAGCAAGTTGAATTTCCAATCGAAATGAGACCTTTTGAAGTTAAAAAAATTTATTTTTAACAAAAATATGCCCAAAAATCGAGTAAAAAAAAACCCGCCTCATTATCTCGGCCATTCTATAATTTGTGGAGACAAGTTACTTAGCAAGTATGTAACTTTTCTGGTTGCTGTAGAGCTTAAGGCAATGCAAAATTTACCAGAATCATGGGTGAAATAATTAGAAATGGCAAATTTTTCTTCAATTCTGTTAGCTACTTCCCATATGCTAACACGGAAATGTTAAAAAAACTTGGCCACTATATTCAGGTACAGTAATTTCAAAGTAGTTCTTATTTTTTACTCTTTCTGTTTCTTAGAGTAAATCTATTTCATCATCACTCAAGCTGGACAATGCGTCTAATAAGTCATCTGAATCACTGGACTCAAAATCGGACATCTGTAATATTTTAAAAAGTTTATTTAAAACACCGAGTTTTTTTATATTCTATTTTTTATTACCACAAGTAAAAATTCCATATTAATAATACAAGAATTACTATTTTTTTAAAGGGAACTTCCTGTATAAAATGTGACTATTTTTTACTAACATTAAACTAAAATCTTTAACAAAGTAATTATCAAAAACATAAACCTTACTTATAGGTTAATATTAACAAGATCACGTCATAAATTCCTTGAAAACTAGTTTCTTTCTACGAACACCAAAGCTAATATTTTTTATTACCTATTTAGTTTAATTACAGTCCGGAATGACATATTTTCATGATTTATAAAATTCAAAGTAGCTTACATTATTTATTTTAAAATTTTTAACACATCACAAAAATGACATGATTGATTTATAATTCAAACTGCCGCTTTTTATCTCCCCTCTCTACATACGGGACAAATGGAACACTAGCGCCCTCTTATTTTTGTAAGATTTTTGTTTACATGGAGTTCGGGCTCCTTGTATAGTCTCCATGGTTCCAACCCAGATTGAATTAATCTGGGATATTAGTCAGGGATGTTCTGTGGCCTATATATTTCATTGAGCGTACAGCATAGAAAATGGATCTTGTATATTATTTTTTCTATGGCGTACAGCAGATAGTTTACTAGGTCTATGACTTAGACACAGCAAATAAAACAATTTTAAATGCTGTGACTTGAGTTGAAAATTGAAGAGATGGGAAAAATAATAAAAGTTGTTGTCTGTGGAATGAAAGGAGTTGGTAAAACAACAATTTTAGAACAAGCTGTATATGGAAATATAACAAACAAAACTGTAAGTTTATAGAGATAACACTAAACATAATATGTATAACTGTGATAACAAAATTATTTCATAATATGAAATTTGAAATGTGAACTTAATTTGAACATGAATTTATATTCTCATATTTTTCATATTGCTGTAACAGCCGAATTCCTTATTACAGTATATTTATGTTACATCGGGCGTAGAGGACATACCTATTCAACAATTGTTGTATACAAATAAAATATTTAGAAAAGTTACAATCAAATCATGTAAACAATTACTTGTATATTTTTAGGAATTTTACCCTACTATAGAAGATATATACGTTGCAAATATAGAATCTGATAAAGGAACACGTGAAAAATTGAGGTTTTATGACACTGCTGGTATTGAACCGTCCCAGATTGCAACTGCTAATGGAACCACAAACCAACAATTACCAAGACATTACCTAGTTCTAGCTGATGGATACATTCTAGTTTATGACACTGGTAAATGTAATTCCCTCGATGCGATTATTTCTATAAAGAAAGATATTGACAGAAATAAAGACAAAAAAGAGGTAAGAAGTGACAAAATGTAACAATTCCATACAAAGTTCTAAAGAATTTCTTACAAAAAGTAAGAATAGTGTATGCACTAAAACAAAGCATGTACATTAATATGTCTTTAGTTTAGAATTTGTTTGTCGTTTGCAGGTTACAATCATTGTTATAGCCAATAGATATAGAGAGGAAGTTGAGGATTCAACACTGCAGAAAGCAACTCAGTGGTGCAACAGAGAAAAAATTAAACATTTTGTTGCTGCTTCGTTAAAAAGATCTACATTATACGAACCCTTTATTTACATTACAAGTAAATTAAATTCTTTACCTGGTAAAAGTAGTTTTACACCATTGTCTATGGGAAGAAAAGTAATAAAAGATGCAAATTAGTATGTGTGGATAGGATACGATGTCATTTTTAATTTCAGAATATTTGTCATTTTTGAAAATCTAATAGCTGTTTTGCATTGCGAATTTATTCATGAAGTCGTTTCGTAAAGAAATTGGACAAGTGTAGTGCACCAAATCTGCTGTCATGAATTTATTCATCAAGTTCTTTACGAATTAGAACATGTTGTAATTTTTATGAATTTTTTTTCGTGAAAGTCAGATGTACCAACCTAACAAATTTACAGCCTCAGATCAGTAATGGGGTTACGTTATTGGTATACGTAAATAATTGTGTGGTGTCGTACTCCTTTTGTGTTGTTTTTACTGATCTGTTGCTTACAAAAGCTCTAATATTTATGTTTATAAACAATGTCAAAACGGTGCCTACCGCTGTTGTACCATTACATATTTACGGAAAGGTGAGACATTTTTTTGAATGAAATTTGAAATTTATTAGCTACTTTTATCTGTTAGTAGAACTGATTCATATTCGTATGTCTTACATAGTGCATCTTATCTATGCATATGTCAAAGAAATTCACGAAGTCTGTTCTGTAGCAGCGTAAAATCAAACCCTTTATGAATGAATTGCCCATATTATTTAAAGATAAGGTATTGAATGTCTAGATTGTCGAGAGTAATTTGCATTTGTTGTATCAAAAAGAAATCACAATATTCTGCGTAACAGTTTGGCCTAAGTATTGGCTAAATTAATAAATTTTAAACTGATCCTCCGCAAAGGGTTACTTATTTAAAAATAAAATAACAGCAGAAAAAGGTCTCCTGGAGGGTCCCCATAATAGTATATTGGCTTAATTAAAAATAGTTTGCAAGGAAATATACATAATTACCATAAACAATTTGTTGCGTACTTTCTATTAATGTTGTACTGCACAGTAAATCTTGCCTTTCGTACGTTGGTATTTTTTTTCTGTGTGTGTGTGTGTGTGTAATTAATTAAGGTTCAATTGCATTTTTATACATAAGTATGTATATAGAGTGTTTCATTTCCAGTGTGCCAAACGAACACAGATGATAGAGAAAGTAATTTTGAGCAAAAAAGTTCATATCGACATGTGTCCGAAAACGCCCCCTTGTGGAGCTACGCCCCTTTAAAGGTAACTTTTTTTATTTGTCAAATTTTTTTCGAAAATCGAATTCCTTGACTATTTCTACACAAAAAAGATAATCTTGTTTCATTACGATATCTGCCACGGTTTTCCAAAAAAAGCCGATTTTAACTTCTTATGCTTCTACTAAAAATTAAAAAATATGTAGAACCTAGAATAATATTTTTCCTACAAGAACAAGTATATCTTTTTTATGTAGAAATGGTCAAGGATTTCAATTGTCGAAAAATGATTACGAATTTGACAAATAAAAAAAGTTACGGATTTTGAACCTTGACTTGCCCCCACATAGGGACGCCCCTGAGAACAATGTGTCAATTTGGTTTAGATAAAGTAATTCCTTGTGATAAATGACACCTCTGTATAAAATTTTATTCATTTATTTCGAAGCATTTTCAAGATATTGTAATAAAATTGCCTCTTTAAAGAGGCGTAGCGCCACAGGGGGGGGGGGGTTTGGACACAGGTCGACATGAACTTTTTTGCTCAAAATTACTTTCTCTGTTCGTTTGGCGCACTGGGAATGAATCACCCTGTATGTATTGTTACTTACCATTAGTAATCTTGTTTTACTTTGAAACAAATTTACGAATATTCTTTGAAATAATAAAAAATGTGTTAAAGAAAAATCATTTATTATTATTACTAATTCGTACAAATATACCTATATACAGGATGTTTCCAATTGGATAGGATAACATTGGTATCTCGGAAGTCAGAAGAAACGGTGATGAATAAATTAAAAAAATTGTCTACGGTCGTTTGGGTTCTTTTTGGAAAAAAAATCATAATTTTTATAGTTTTGGGTTGCTACCGGGTGTCTTGAAAATTACCGAAAACTATAACTGTAATTTAAAAAAATAAAAGATTGATGTTAATGACTCAAAATACTAAACTGTCAGTCATTTTTCAACAACTATCTTGCAAAAATATGTATACAGGCTGTTACAAATTCGCTTCTCACTACAGGGATCTTGAAAACGGTAAAAAATCAAGGCTAATATTAGATTTCGAAATATTCAAAAAAACCGGAGATTTTGGAAATCAGTTTTTATTTCATTTCAGCCTTGTTTGAGGTGATGTTGAAAAAAGAAGAACACTTTCTCAAGAACACTTTTTGCCCTCTATCGAATGGCATAATCAATTTTTATATGTAACGTTTCGTCTCTCCAGGATCAACTTCATTTTTTTAAATACGACCCTAGAAATTTTATTACATTTTTTGCAAGCCTTCATGACCCTCAATACTGTACTGCCTCAGCCCGAACCAGATTCAGACTTTTCTCGAAAAAATTCATCTTCAATGTATTCATTTGTCTTATTTTTTTTTTTAGATATCTATGTTGAATTATCGTACACTCTAAGTGTCGTTAGACCCTGTAAAATCTACACAATTATTTAAACTATTACCGTCACATGTTGCAATAAAACATTATTATAGTTTTAATCCCGTGCTGATGTCTAGGTTTCTCGAGTGCTCAAAATTCAAACAAATTTTGATCTAATTTTTTTCAGGATATTCATACAAATACATCGGACATGCTCTTTCACAATTGCAGTTACAGGTATAATAAATTCTGATCATATTATGTTTATCTTAATTTTCAACATTTGCCAAAACAGAAACGTTTTTGAACATCGTACTGTAACTTTTTAAAGTATAATATAATAATTTATTTGGATTTTTGATGATTCATATACATTTTCAAGAATAAATTTGTCATAATGAAATTAAAATTGTAGTAAAGTTTTAATTTTGACGCTAAAACTTATCGAATTATGTATGACCAGGTGATGGAGGCTAAATCTCTAATAATGTTTTAGTGTAACGTGTGATGGTAATAGTTTAAATAACTATGTGGATTTCACAGCGTCTAATGACACTTAGAGTGTACGATAATTAAATAAACATAGAAATCTAAATAAAAAATTTAGATAAATTTGGAACGAATACATTGAAGATGAATTTTTAGAGAAAAAACGTCTGAATATGGTTCGGGCTGAGGCAGTACAGTATTCGGGGTCATAAAGGTTCGTATTTAAAAAAATTAAGTTAATGATGGTCCTGGAGACACAAAACGTTAGCTATAAAAATTGATTGTGCCATTGTTCGATAGAGCGCAAAAAATTGCCATGAGAAAGTGTTCTTTTTTTTCAATTTCACCTCAAAGAAGGCTGAAATGAAATAAAAACTGATTTCTAAAATCTCTGGTTTTTTTCAAATATTTCGAAAACTAATCATTTTAGCCTTGATTTTCTAGAGGCGTAATGTTGGTCCCCCTTACCATTTCCGAGAGCCCTGTAGTGAAAAGCGAATTTGTAACAGCCTGTAGTTTACACGGCGTAATTTTGAGTGGGGGGTCATATTTATAAAGAAGCATGCTTTGACCTTTAGAAACATGTATCTATAGTTTATTTTGTCAAATCCGTCATAAAAACTAAATTTTTAAACTTTTTTAAGTAATTTTCGTACACCACAAACACTCGCCGCGAAAGCAAGTGGATGTTCACCACACAAACCAAGTATCCTAGCAAAAAACTCAAACGGTAATCAATAATGATAAATGAAATACACAAAAATAAATAGTCTGTCTACTAACATGAATTTTATAACACTATTTTCTCTGAATTTGTTACCGTCCAATATTATTGTATTGGCATTCAAAGCTCCCATAATCTTTTAAATGCTGCTACTTTTAACTACTTGGACCTCAGGATGCGCAGTTCGATTGGAATTTAATTACAAATTATTTTCTGCTTAAATATAACTTCAAATTCACAGTTAGATGTACTGCCAACAATTCATGTATTTGTAATACATGAATATTCCAGTGGCGGCGTACACAAGAATTAAAGTGCATTTAAAAAACTAATTATTTGACAAAAAAAAAAAAAGAATTTCAGATTCGTATTCGGGGAACACGTACTACTACCCTTAAAAAACTGACCCCCACTTAAAGTTACACCTTGTATGTACATTTACATTCATTTCAAAATATATAAAATACAATTTTTAATTTCATTTTTAAATTTTTAATTCATTTCGTTAGAAAAGTTTCACGGCTTTATTGTTGGAAATGGTTTTTTTTTGTGTTAATTATTAATTATTAATAGAACTTCCTACATGAACATTTTTATTGCAACTTGTGTTTTAAACGACCATCATTAATTTATTATTTATCTTTTTAATACAAACTTCTCGGCACAGATTTCCAATTCTCTTGTGAATCTAACGATATCACTCTGAAAACCTGATGGATCAAATAAAGGAGAAAAAAATTATTTTAAACGAAGCGTTTTATATGTGTTATATAGCCAGACAGCGGACAATTTGTGTCTTTAACCTTGAACATAGATATGTCATTCATAAACATAGATACATTATCCATGACGCAGTGGCGTGTCGGGTACGCATCGGGAATTTACGTGATAATTCACGAAAATTCCACAGTACATATATTTTTAGGCTTTATAGAATATTTAGACAATCAGGTACTGTATAACTTCATATTTATAAAATAAATTTCAGTTAAAGATAGTGTAATTTTTTTTTAATTGGAAATTACGAGTTAATGTAAGGAATACCCTCGGGCGACGCATATGATAGAATAGTCCAATCCACGCTCCATTCATAACAGGGGTGCAGTTTGAATTCTGACAAATAGGAATTCGATAAACCCAACTGATGTTGACCGAAGGACAAGAGATGGGCACGAGTGTAATTTCATTTCTTTAGACCTAAATTAACTTAATTATTTCCTCGTTTTACCAGTTCACATGATTTACGGATATTAAATAAAGGGTACAAATCTTCGCGAGGATAATACGATATATTTGCTATACATAATAATTATATTTTTCATAGTTTACACACAATACATTTTGGAACGCGCACGCATCTCTACCAAAATTTGACCTAATCTTGTTACGTTTTCGGGATAAAGACACACATTGTCCGCTCTCTATATACATAGCAGATTTCACATTTTTTAGGAAACAAAAAATATTTTTGATTTGTTTCTAATTCATTTACCCAAATTTTTTTCACAAGAGAGCAAAGACACCGCAGCCAATTTGATATGTTAACATTGTGTCCAGAAAACGATAGGCTATCTCTCGGTAGAAATTCGATTTTTCATTATAATCTCTTCGTTTTTCACTAAATATGGATAATTTTTGGGTGAAACCCCACTACTTTTTCAAATTTTAATCACCGTTTTTAAGACATTTTTAAGCTACATTCGAGATAAATGAGTTAAACCTCATGGTTTACAATATACAATTTTTGATATATGTTAGTAGCAATAAATAAATGAAAACAAAAATTTGTCAATTAGGTATGTCCAGCGAATAAATTTATTTGATCCCCTGTCAGATATTGCCCAATATTTCCCAGACACTATGTATATACAAATATTACACACGTATTATGTATTCTTAATTCCTATGAGTTTTATGATGTCTTATAAGATGTGCTTTCTGAGAAAACCTTTTATTGCAATATTCGCACAAGTAGGCTTTTTCTCCGCTGTGAACCAACATATGCTGATATAACTGTCCTTTTGTTGAAAATGCTTTTCCGCACTGATCGCATCGATAATTCTTTTCGCCAGTATGAATCTTGGTGTGAGTATTTAGATTACTAGAACTGGCAAACCTCTTAGAACAGTATGTACAGCCGTACGGTCTCTCAGACGTATGGATGGCTATGGTATGTTTCGTTAACTGCTGTGCTGTGGCGAATGCCTTATTACAGACTGTACATATATGGTTTTTTTCTCCAGTGTGGGTCCTCATGTGCGTATGCAGGTGGCCCCCGTTTGTGAATCGTTTATCACAAAGGTGGCACACATACGGCCTTTCCCCTGTATGTATCCGAATGTGATGAACTAGACCTGGTTTCGTTCGAAATATTTTCCCACAAGCGTCGCACTGGTGATGTTTATTAGGTTTTTTAACTCTGATTGGTTTAACCTCAACGGTATTATGTACCGATATGGCCTCCATCTAAAAAATGAAATGTATATACAGATTGTATCATACAGTATCATACACTTGTAAAGCAATAAATTAGGAATATTTTAAATTATGTTTTTTTTAACGTTAAAATTTTGAGGTCCTTATTATAATTTTCTTATGTATTTCATTCTACATAGAAAATGCACTCTTATGGAAGTTCATGAAGCTACTTAAATTTCGAAGAAACATGGAATGGTATTCCTTTTTCTTAGATTTTGAATTTTCTTTGAAAATTAAAGTTATATATTTTATATAAAAGGATCGATAAATGGTTTTTTAGGAGACGAATTCTAGGCTCATAAACAAATAATTTGGAACTAAATATAAAATGAGAAAAATAGGGGTGGCCCGTCCTGGAATATCAAAAAAGGCAGAACATATAGGCTGTTACAAATTCGCTTCTCACTACAGGGATCTCGAACCAGATGTTATTTTCTACAATTTTTTTTTTCTTAAAGTTACAGCATTATAAATTTTGAAAATTGGACCATTGTACCAAATTAAATTTAAATAGGTAGGTAACTATTGTAATGTTTTAGCTCTTTAGGTTATTTGGTGTCAATTAAAAAACTTGGTATGTCACAGCCATTTATTTATCTCTACTATTTATTTATAGGTCGCCAAACACACTTCTTATTTATTTACAGCTACACACAAGAATCTCATAAATCTTATATCTGGCAGTTCCACTCGACTGTTTATTTAGCGAGGCGAATATTCTCCCAGAATTGTTCGTCCATTGTCGTCCATTTTCGTCACACTATGAAGAAAAGTCAATTTTGTGAAGCATAATTATAAAAACCTCATTGTATCTGTCAGTTGATCATAACATGACATGCGGAATCTGATGGTGGTACACTTTTTGGAGGGAACCCCTTTAAGACAATTTTTCGTGGGCCCTCTTGTCTGTGGAATTAAAAAAGATTCTGATTCAAGATTTTTAGTTCATTCGAAATTTTCTCCCTCATGAAACTTCTTTTAAAGGAGCCTACAAATGGTCCCCAAGACAAGGCCACTTGAGTTTTCACCAGCATTAAAACACGTTATCTACCAAATTTTAATACAATACCTATGTTACTTCCATTTCTCCCAGACATATTGGCAAAATATGATTTAGCACTTTCATTTTTTGAAAATAAAAGTATATAGATCCTTAATTAATTATAACAGTCAAAGGAATTGGTCATTTTTTTAGTAATAAATAAAATTGACTTCAATTTGTTGATGAAAATAAATTCAGAAAGAAGTTGTAATAGGACTAGCTCTAATTTTACAAAAAATTTATAATGACTTCCGGTTACATTTTAATTTGAAGATGCGAAGAAATGTTCTAATAAGCTGGCCTATATTGAGAAATACTTATGTAAACTTATTTTTGCCAGCATAGCGAGGCATTCTTTGTGCTATTAGAATTTTAAAATATATTTGGGCAGAGATATACAAGCTATCGAGAATAGCTTAGGTACAAGTATTTGATTTTACTTCATCACATAATATTTTAATAGTTATAAAATAAGCTTACCTTTACATCTACATCATGAGGTCTTAAATCATTCAATTCAGTCTTCAACTGTGTACTTTTTTCAAAGTCGTGTAGGGACGAACTTGAGTCTGTGTGCATAATTTGGGGAAGTTGTTCCTGAATTTGTAGTTGCACTTCAACATTGTCAACTTGGATAATTTCTGCAGCATTAATTATATGTTTTTGTTGATTTGTCTCATTTTTAGAATATTTATTTGAATTAAACTTCTTTACATTATCAAATTCTAATAAATCTGGAGTTGAAAGGTGATTATAATTTTCTAAACACTGACGCAGTTTTGAATCTGAACTCTCACACTGAGTTTTAAACTGGAATGCTATATTTAATTTAGAAATACATTTTTGACAAATATATGGCGGCAAACCATCTCCTTCAATTACCTAAAATATAATATAGGTACTTTGGTAAATTTATTTACGATATATATTTTTTCAATATTTACAACAAATGCCATCAGTATGACAGCAAAATATCAGCATTAATTAGATTAAAAATACTAAAAATATTAGATAGTTTTAGACAATTAAAAATAATAAATATGAAATAATTAGGTTATGTAATAAAATAAATGTGGTAAAAAACATATTTAAATTACTAGTGTAAACAATACTTAAATTTTTTATTTAGTAAATAAATTTTCACCTTTACAAATGATTCAATACCTACATTTAAAAGAAATTACCTGCACTGCGGCACAAGCCATTATTAATATGGAAAAATGCGGAGGTTTTATAGGGTCAAATATATGCATTAATTTCGGACCTTTTTCTAAACATATTCTACATATATTATTTATATTATTTGCTAAGTAATAATTTAATATATCACTTGATTGAGAATTTTTGTTTCCATACGCCATCTTCTGCAATTAATAGAAGCGAAGATGTAAGGCTAGGCTATTTTTCGCGACTGAATGTTAGTGAGTGAATATCTGACATCTGATTTTATTTCTATCTCTTTTGATAGTTGTCATATGGTAGTTTAAATCTCTTCACTCGCTCATTCTACACACATTAGGGGTTTCGACAATTGTATCGGAGTGGTCGGAACAAGAAAATGCCTTACGCATATTCACTCTGATG